AGCTAGTAGTGTTGCAGCGTGGCTTGCTGAGTGAATTAGAGGGGGCAAGAGTGGGGAAAACTCACCTGAGGCAAGAAGATAGTGTTTGTGAAGATACTTAGGCTGAAATATTTACAGTTTGGGTATAACATACAGAATTGAGAATATCCTCTATTTTGCAGGCTTTGCTTTGTGCTCACTAGATTCGCAACACCCTTGAGAACACATTCTTGTTAAAAATAATACCAGTAGAAAAGAGTCAGCTCAAGGTGTCAGGATTTCAAAGCATTTAATTAACATAAGATAAAACTGGGTGGGATGGGCAGATAGCATAGTCTTTAAGGCACTGGACTCCCACATGGTTGACCATGGTTTGAGTCCCAGACCTGACAGTTTTCTTTCACTCTTTCTCTATCTTTCTGGTCACATTGAATAATAATAATAATAAATAAAATAAAATGAATAACTTAAAAATATTTTTAAAACTTGGGAAAAACTGTGAAAAACTTTGGAAAAATTTAAAATGAGACTTTATTAATATTTTATCTAGAAAGAATACCAATTAGGCGGTATTAGAGACAGCATCTATAAAGAAAGCCAATTATACATGAATATGTTTCAAGATAAATTTGCCTTTGATAGTTTATTTATATAATATAAAACACCCTTTATAAAGTCTCACCTTAATGTAATGAATGTACATTTTTATTTTTAAAAATAATTATTCAATTCTTATTTTTAAATTTGTTATGGGCTATGTGTGCTCACCAGAGCTAGACAGAGAGAGAGACAGAGATAGAGAGAAAGCAATAAAGCAAGCTGCCAGCCCAGGGACTCAAACCATGGTTGGCCTATTTGAGAATCCAGTGCCTTAACTACCATGCCACTTGCTGGTCCCTTCACATTATTATTATTATTATTATTACTACTACCTATATATAGAGATTTTCACTATAGGGCACATACACTCATCAGAGACAGAGAGAAAGCAAGAAATCATCCCCCAGAGGGGATGGTCACATGCAATCCCTTCTCCTGCATTTCCCTCTTGGGACCTTGGGCACACACACATACACATATGCACCTGGCGTGAGTTTTAAGCCTCTGGATCCAGGACTCAAACTGAGGTTGACTGTGGGAGTCCAGCGACATAACCAGTATGCCATCTGCTGGTCCCCTGCCATTATTTAAAATAAAACCAATGTAATAAAATCAGTTTATTGCTCAATAAATAAATATTTTTAAAGCTCTCCTTTTACTTTCATAAGTGTCTTAGTTTGGATGATTAATTATATGATTAGAATATCAGCTCTTGGGGCTGGCTGGTGGCGTGGTAGTTAAAGGCCCTGGGCTCTCACATAGCTGCCTAGACCTGGCAGCTTGCTCTCTCACTTTCCATCTTTCTCTCTGTCCCTCTCTGGTCAAATTAAAATAAATAAATAAACTTAAATAAAGTAATTCTTAAAAAAAAAAAAAAGAATATCAGCCCTCCACTGGTTGAAGGGTCAGACTGTTAAGATCAGGATGCATATTTTATTGCCCCCGTTTAGGCGTCTCCCTAGAGAGATTTCTAAAAACAGAAAGGCAGTTGTAATACCAAGTATTGCTCTATCAGGTCACCCGTCACTTCGGGGCCATGAATTAACTTGGTCTGAACTCTCACTTCAATAAAAAAAAAAAAAAAAAAAAAAGAGGAAACAGGTTATTCCCTATCTAGACAGTCCACTGGGGAGAGTTCTGTCTCTGTTGTAACTCCAGTTTTCTTTCTCACGCAGGCATTTTATTAATGTTTTCCAGGGTTCTGGGGAGTGCGAGTATTTTACCATCTGGAGTTTCTCTGCATTGCTGATCCGAGCTCAGACCTGTCCGTTTACCAGAGATGATTGATAATACCCTGTGTCAGCTGAGTAAGTAGATGCTGCTGTGTGTTCTGTTTTATTGCTTTAAAAAAAAAAAAAAGGAAATTGTTGTAACTTTAAAGTTTTAAAATATTATGCACTTTAATTAGGTCTTTAAATTTTGTTGCATAATGGTGGCAATTATTACAATAATTCTACTAAGTGAATATTTGTAAATAATGGAATGCTGGAAGAAAGTAATCCCCTGATGATAAAGAGTTAATGAAAACATTTTCCATATTAGCTTTCAAGAAATATAGTGAGGATTTCAATGTATATATTAAAAATTTAATAGCATTCTCCTTGGTGCTTTATTTCACTTTTAGAAATGCAAAAATATTTGTAAGGCAACCATGATACACATTTTAAAGGCAACTATTGGGACTTCAGAAAAGTCATAATATATTTTTATATACAAAAACAGAAAAATATGACTTTTCCGATGACCCAATATATCTATATAAAAATTGTCTTTTATTTTACTTTATTATTTATTTATTTTTAGGTTTTTGCTATAGGATGCATGCACTTGCCAGAGATAGAGAGAGGGAGGGGAGTGAGAACTCATCCCCCAGGGGAGATGGCAATGCTGCAATCCCGTCTCCTCCATTCTCCTCTCAGGATTTCAGCAGTGCACAGCCACATGCCCTGTGTGATTTTCAAGCCACCAGATTCAGGACTAGAACCGTGGTTGGCCATATGGGAATCCTGCACCCCAGCCACCATGTCACCTGCTGACCCCTAAAAATTGTCTTTTAATTCAGGATGCATTTTGGTTACCTTGAAAGAAACACTAGCTTAATGGAAATAGAATTTTAGTAATTCTTTTTTTTTTTTTTGAAAATAATGATTTTTTAATGCTAATCTATGCAAGATCACAGAATCTCTCAGAATTTAACTTTGTTTCTTAATTGAAGAGACTAGGGAAGAAAGACATTCATTCATCTAATCAAAACACCTGAATGAAGTTTAAAGTATTGCCTCAGTTCTCTTGATATAAACAGTTTCTCAGAATGAAAGCTATTATTCCTTTTGATACATATCCTTTGAAATGCTTCGATAAAACTAATAAACTATGAGCTTGTACCAGGACCTTGTTTTGGAACCTTAAGTTAAATACAATGAATTAGGGGCCAGGTGGTGGTGCGGTGATGTGACACAACTGGACCCAAATGGGGAAGAGCCTGGGTTTGCATCCTGGGCCCTCCCTGAACATGCCGGGCGCACACCCACATGCCAGGGATTTGGGCTCACTGAGATGAGTGTGAATTTTGGCATGAGGACCCTGTCGTGGTGTCGTCTCTCTTTCTCAAGAAATAAATACATAAACTTAAAAAGAATAAAGCTGTGAGGTAATATCCACTATAGTAGAGGTATTCAACTTTGGTCCAAATCTGTGCTGTCCAGTATGGTAGGCTCTGGTCACATGTAGCTATTTTTGTTGTTGTTGTTTATTATTTCTTCCATAAGTGAGCGAGAAAAAGACAAAGAGCAACCCCAACAGGGTCTCAGCACTGCAGTCTTACCCCCAGCCTCGGTCAACTCCGGATCACGGGCAAGCACATGCCCTGTGTACTGAGGGAGGTCTCCAGACACAGACTGGGAATTCTCAAGTGGGACTGCTTCCCAGAAGTCATACTGTCCCTTTGCACCACCTTCTGGCCCCACAGGTAGCTGCAGAGCATTTGAAATATGGGTAGTACTAATTGACTGTGCTCTGCATGAAATACACACTGTATTTCAAAGACAGTATGAAAAAAACCCTACAAAGTTTTAGTAATGTTTATGTAAATTACATGTTGAAGTGATAATATTTTTGTATATATTGAGTTCAAACATATTTAAAAATCAATTTCACCTGTCATTTTTTAAAAATAAATGATTTTATTTAACTTTATTCATCATTATTATTTTTTATTTTGAGAGAGAGGGAAAGTGAGAAAGCAAATTGCCAGGTTTGGGATTTGAACTGCGCTTGACCATGAGGGAGTCCAGTGTTTTAACCATCATGCCACCTGCCACACCTCTCACCTGTTACTTTTTACTTTTTTATGTGACAGCTAAAATTTTTGTATTTTATCTTTTATTAACATAAAATAGTTGTACATATTTGTGGGGTACAGTGTGATTTCTTAGTACATTATTACAATGTGACAGGATTAAATCAGGGTGCTTACCCATCATCTCAACTGTTTGTCATTACTTGGTGTTAGGAACATACAGAATCCTCTTTAGTCACTCTGCAACCCACAGGGAATTGTTGTCAACGATTGACATAGTCACCCTACTATGGTTTGTAACACATTGCCTCTGAACTATTTGTAATATTGTTGGTGTTAACCAGTATCTCTCTCTCCTTTCTCTCCTCAAGAGAATTGTAGATTGCTTGGACTTGCCTTAGATTTCTTTGGGACATGTCGGACTGACCTGTAGCAACATATACAATCAACATTCTTAGTCATCCATTATTTAGTATCCTGTAGACCTTGAATTTTCTGGTCTGCATATGGATCAGTCTATATAAATCTGTTTTAAGACTATGATTCTTTGATTCATCAAATATTCATTGAGTACCTACCATGTGTCAGACAGTAGGCGAGCACTGATGATATAATAGTGAACGAAATGAACAGACATGGAGTTAACAGGGAGACACAGACGAAGACCCAATAAATAAGTAAAAGGTACAGTACATGAGAAGGTAGTAAGTGGTTTGGGGAAATGGAAGGCAGACTGGGGTGGAGGGGCACTTCAGTGATAAATAGTGTTCAGGGAAAGTCTCACTGAAAAGGTGCTGTTTTTGCCAAGACCTGAACAAGGTGAGGGGAGGAGAACTGCAGAAAGGGGAAAAGCATTCTAGGCCTCCGGAAGAGCAAACACAGAGATCATGAGGCTGAAGCTTGCCTGACCTGTTTGAACAGTAGAACGAGGCTGGTGATCGCAGTGGAGTGGGTGAAGGGGAGAGAAGGAGCTGAGAGGAAGTGGGTGGTCACATCATGTGAGCGGTGGTTGTTGTGAGAGTTTTGGCTTTGAATGAGATGAAAAGAACTTGGTGGGTCTGAAGGAGGGAAGCCCCGTGATCTTTCTATTGAAAGCTCCAGTGATTTCAATCCTCTGGGAGTGGGGGCAGGGCCATTTGCAAGGATGGAGACCAAGAAGAAACCCTCCCCCAACTGCAGTGGTCCAGGTGAGAGGTGATGCACCTGAGACCATAAACAAGGGGGGAACCATGAGAAAGGGGATTCTAGAATGTTCTATGCCATGAAATTGGATATGGGGTGAGTGAGCAAGAGGTCTCAGGCCTGCCTCCAAAGTTCTCAACCTGAGCAACATAAGACTGGAGTTACCTTCTGCTGAGGTAGGGGGTTGTAGAGGAACCCACCGGGCAGCACCAGGAGCCCAGTTGGGATATGTCAGGTTTGAGATGCATCTTTAGATGTCCAAGCACAAAGGTGCGGTAGGCAGAGTCTGGAGTGCTGTGTGAGGTCAGGGTGGAAGAGGCAAGTTGGAAGTCATTAGTATTTCACTGTTACTCAAAGTCATGAGAAGGGTTAAGATGACCATGGGAGGAGAGGAGTGTCTGGGACCTGAGACTGGGAGAGGAGATTGAGGAGCGGACACTGGAGGAAGAAAGCGTTGCAGGGAAGCAGTCGGAGCCAGCCTCTGCAGATGCTGCTGATGGGCTAGGCAAGATTTAAGCTGAAAACGGATCTGGATTTAGCATGAAGATATTATTGCAATGAGGATATGGTGACCTTGATGAGCAGTTTCAGTGAAATGGTGGAGACAAAAGCCAGAGTGGAATGGATTTAGGGGAATTACCAGACATGAATTAAGAAGTGAGTATAAACCCTCTTTTGAGGACCTGTGGAGTCAAGGGTCAAGGGAATTTTGGGTTTTGTTTTTAAGATGAGAGAAATTACGTGTTTTTCCCAGTGCATGCATTAGAAAGATTTCAAGTTTCATTTTCTTCTGTTCTGTTTTCCTGAAATGACCCACTAGATCTATGACATTTAAAAGCCACCACCTAGGACCAGCAATTGGCATAATGGCTATGTCACTGGACTCCCATGTAGTCGACCGGGGTTCGAGTCCCAGACCTGGTGGCTTAAACTCACACCGGGCGTATGTGTGTGCGTGCCCGCCTAAGATCCCAAGAGGAGAATGGAGGAGAAGGGATTGCAGTGTGACCATCCCCCCGGGGGTGATTTGTTGCTTTCTGTCTCTCTGTCTCTCTGGCAAGCGCATGCACCCTGTAGCAAAAATCTCTCCAAAAAAAAAAAGTATACTTGCTTCCAAAGTCTCTTTGCCACCCCCACATAAACCCCCCCCCAAAAAAAAGCCACTTCTTGGGACTAGCAGTTGGCATAATGGCTATGCCTCTGGACTCCCATGTAGTCAACTGTGGTTCGAGTCCCAGACCTGGTGGCTTAAACTCATGCTAGGCGCATGTGTGTGTGTGCCCAGGATCCCGAGAGGACGGAGGAGAAGGGATTGCGGTGTGGCCATCCCCCTGGGGAGTGATTTCTTGCTTTCTGTCTGTCTGTCTGTCTTTCTGGTGAGCACATGTGCCCTATAGCAAAAACTAACTAACTAACTAACTAACTAACTAAATAAATAAAAGCCACCACCTTATATGTGTATATATGGGGAAGAGTGGAGTTTCCTAGGAGGATTTTTATAGAATTGTGTTTTGGGGAGAGAGTCCATGAATGAGATTTTAGAAGCTGGTGTTGATTATGTTAAAGGTTGCTTTTACAATTGTTATGAAATTTGGCTTCATTTTTTTTCTTGTTCAGTGTCAGCATTCACATTAGATCCAGCAATTTAAAAAAATTTAAGGAAATAAATGTTAAAACCAGTACTCTTAACTACAAGTACTGAAAAAGCTGGCATTTAGGGGCTAGTTTATTTTCTTTACATTTCTGGAAGTTACTGAAATATTTGGAGAAAGTGAGGCAAAGACATTCCTCGGGTCACAGCGAGTGAAATATTGCTAGAATATGTGG